ACCAAAACCTTGACCTTAACACCGATATACATAGAATAAGCAAAATAATGAATATTGAAAAAAATTTGTTATGATATTCCTTTTTAATGATAGAAGAACATTCTCAAAATACCAATGCAATCTCCAGGTTCCATGATACGAACTAATATATAGAATCTCATATCACTGCATGCTTCTTATTACAATGCAGGTATTAAATATTGCACTGTCCACCAGCCAGAAATACACGATAGCATTGAGAGCTAAGGTGTAGCAGTGCATTATTTGTCATGTTCATACAAATGGAAATCGCACACGTTTCCGACCCTCAAAACCCTCATTTTGAACAGAATATGCTAATATCATCGCGCTTAAATATCATTGCGCAGAAGGCGTTATCATTTTTCAACAAATGGGTCATATTCATTGCAATAATGTACTATTCTCAAAATAAACGAACAAAAAAAATGAAATAAGTAACATAGTTAATTTGTATTTAGAATTTAATGATAATAATAATAACAATAAATAACAATAATAATAATATTGATGTATTATGAACATTTGCTCAGAAATATCTGAATGTTAGCTTACATCTCAGCGCATTTTATCAATGCATTTTTACATTATCTACCAATAAACACCTCGACATGCGTCTGAATGTTTCAGTAGGAAAAACGATCGGATGGCTTTATATTCAGGCCTATCTCCATCAGTTTTTGAAAATAAAATTAATATTTCATTGAAATGCCCAATCATTTTTTTTTTTAATTTGTATTCGCCAGCAGTGTTTGATTTAAAGTAGTTTAATATTTCTCGTGCGTCTTATAACGTCACAGGCGTAGCATGACACACACGCTTGGTGCGACAAGACAGCTGATGTGACACTCACGGCGTCAAGAGTAAATAATTGTCATTCTAACCTGCAACTCCTCCAGAATTCTTAATTAATGGGGTCTAGTTACTTAACCAAGGGTCGATGATAAACCCCTCAGGGTCACCCATGTTAGAGCGTAAGACGTGTCCCTTGACAATACCGTTAGGACGGTCAATACTGTGGCAGCGAACTGTCAACAGAGGCCTTAATAAGATACGCCCAAGGTGCTATATATGCCAATAGCTAACAGACCGGCGATTTTAACGGTCGATAGTTTGGAACAGCAGTGCACGAAGTGTCTTGTTTGAGTCAGGCGTGGTACATGTAAGTATCACGTCAAATGGTTTCTGAATTAATTTCTAAGATATTTACAATGTAATCAAGAACGATATGAAACAATATATTTTAACGACAATTTTTTAATGAACTTTGCTGTGCACGTATCACATGAATGTGAGGTGTTTTCTTCGTTGATTTCTAAATCACTTCGCTCAATATATTCATAAAATATTATATAATGGTTTGAATCACGATTTGGAACACATTTCGTTGTTTTAACAACTTAACTATAATGTGTTTAGAATCACTTTAAGGCGATTTAAAAGGTGGATAGACAGGGACAAGACAACTACGTATACAAGAAATCTTCTTTGCGTCAGGCTCGGTTCATGTAAGTATTAGATATACCTGAAATATTTTCTTAATTAATTTCTAGAATATTCTGTAGTGTTTTCAAAAACGATATGAAGCTCTCTTTGTTGTTTTCACAATTTAATTAATTAATTAATTTATTTATTTATTTATTTTATTAAAATTCAAATAGAAATCTGCAGAAAAAATTTAAAGTTAAGCAGTAAACTGAAGGCGATGCAATGAATAAATTCGATTTCTTTAAAAATAAATTGCTCTCTTTAAGTATTTTTTATACCATCGGTTCACAAGCAACGTGTTTCCTTGTATGTGTGGTTTGTGTATTTATTTCCTGTTTTAGCTAGATTAAGATATTAAATAAATAATTGATATTAAAAATGTTACTGATACAGCAGTTGTATATAGACCTATAGTATGTTGAGTACTGTTGCAATTATTCCACTATCTTATTTCGTTTTTATAAGGCAAACATGGCCGTCTTTTCTTTCTATTTAATTTATTAAATATAAAATATTTATTATTATTATCACATAAAATTATCCATTGAAACAAGTTATTTATAGATTCAAATAAATGGATGGATTAATAGTTAAAGACATGATGTGCAAATTTCTATTTGCATATATTTCATTTTATTTCTAATTTTTCTTAAATATTATAGCCGGTTTATCATAGCTACCATGGTGATAATGATTAGGTCTGCAAAGAGAAATACAACTTAGACTTTTCTCCTATAATTCATTTGTAAACAATTGGTAAATAACGCTGCTGAGTGAATAAAAATAATGAAAAGTTTACTTATGAAACATGAAGAATAGCAAAGACATCTATCATTTGATCGCGTGTTCTTACTATTGAACCAACTTGTATCTTAGAAGGCTTAATATTTCTACTGATAAAAACACCAAGTCTACCCAATTGCCGTTTCTACAGTCATGTGCACGTAACATGCTTGAGTCATGAACTGCTAATGAGTAACAAAACTTGATTTATTTTAAATTTGGTACAAGAAAAATGATAATTTAGGTAAAGGGATTTTACATAGAGAATATAAATCAATTTCTTACATATTTTAAATTCATCAAACGATACGATATATACATCACAATCACTAATGAACCTATAGAAAGAAATTTAACGTCCCATATGATACCTCACATATTGTAATTGATGTTTTTCAGACATTTTTTCGAGATGTAAGATGTAAAAATAATGCATATTGTACTTAAGCTGTTTGTTACATGCTCATGTCCTAATGATCTATCGTCAGAATTGATTTTCATCAGCCAAAGGCGGATAGCATTTCACAATTTGAAAATGCTGGGCGGGAATATTGCATTTTATTTATTCCAAGCCTTAATAAATGCTAAACAGTACTTCAATACACCATCAATGTACTGTTCACATATACGTATTTTCAACATTTAGCTTTAACCAAATTGAAATAAAAAAGAATGACAATCAATGTGAAAAATTGTTTCAAAATTACACATTTTGTGGATAAAGGAGAGCATAGTCTGTTGAAGCATGCAAACATTTGTGTTATGTTTTCATCCTTTTGATATATATATATGCAACATCCGTAAAATTTAAACTAAAAACGGGGCAACATTTTGTTGAGACGCATGCACGCTTTCAAAAAAAAAGTAAAATTTCGTAGTTGAAAAATGGATAGATTTTACATAATAGAAATCCTTCAAATCCAATCTTTGATTTTTTTCATTATGTAAAAAAGCAATAAAGGATACTCGTAATGTGGGAGACCGCTAAACTGCACTTGGTTTGATTGCCTAGGCCGTGATTCGGTCTACGACGGCGGCCTTAGACCTGCTGCTTGGCCAGAGGCATTCAAAGCGACCCTGAACAATAACCCTCGCCTTCAGACCAATATCTCTCTTAAGATTTGTATTGCAAATTAACCCCCGATATCAGGATCAATTCGCTATCGATTATTATTCCTTTGGTGTACTGAAGCGCAGAATATTAGTTATCGAAATCCAATAGGAATAGCAATTGGTTTTTATGCATGTGATTGTATAGTTGAAAACCGCATATCCCTTTTAATTGGGACCACTGAAAGCCTCTTAGCTGTTATAAGATTTGCTTAATTTCTTTGAAGGTATTAATCAATACAGATTGCGCGATTTGTGTTATATTTACAAACAGTGGGTCGTCGTCGCCGAGTTTTCAGATATAATTGATGTTTGAAAATTGATTATTCGTAACTGGGATCTATTACGTCTAGATTCGTCTATTTCAGCAGTTCTGGCACTAAACACAACGAAAGGAGAAATGGCGTGCCGCCAAAAATGACGATCTCTTTATTAATTCCCGAGTAAATTTAATTACTCGACACTGAAAGGATTTACATTCGTCACATATATTTTCAGAAAACACTAAACTTCACACGTACCAAGGGCAGAAGGAAGTTTGTTACTGGAGCAAAGATCGAGTTTACCTGTTTAACGTCCAAGCCCGCGTTGTTCAGATCGGGATGCCCCGGAAAGAAGGAACTCAGATGGTAAGCTTTATTTTTATGGCATAACGTGTACTAGATAACATGCATTGTATTGTCATGTCCAAAAAAGCAACACCCGAAAAAAGAGTATCAAATAGACCACCAAATTACGTGAAAATTCGTTTCATCCCCATAGGCAAATTCCCACAAAAACAACCATTGTTGCTATATCGATATGGTTGTATTTAGATAGATATATAGACAGATAGATAGAAAGACTTACTGACTGATAGACATAGCATTTTGGCAACCTATAAGTAGTCAAGCCATGAGGAGGAAGAGAAAATTTAAACATGCAAGGTCAACATTACAAGATTGGCCACCCGTGCTTAGAACAGACCATAACTTGTCTCTCTTTCAAACAGTGACTTATGTCGGAGGTTCATCTCAAGGTTAAGACCAAGGCACAATTGTACTCCTTATATTATAATACTACTTTATAAATTGTAATTGTTTCATTTAAACGACCAGTTTTACACTTAAGTGAAGACTTGCTTTTGAATTACAAATATATTATAAAATGAGGCAGGCCGATACTTGTATCAACATTCCACTTAAAAGCAGAATTACATAGTTGAAAACCCTGGTCATTTTGGATGGTTCTCTCTGCGTTTCATGTCTATCATTGTTCGTCACTTATAGAATGGCATCATGCCACGGACACTTGACGCATATTCCATATGCATATTTTGTTGTTTTTATTCTCCTTTCAACTGTTTATGAAATATTCATAGCTCAAGTTTTTAAATTCTATACATGTAAGCAAACATTCCCGTAAGCAAACATCGCATACTTCGCGAATATTTTGTTCGTGTACAAATGGCGACATTTAGACCACATCTACTAGTATACCAATCTGATGGATGCTTTTGCTCTAAAATATTCATGTTTCTTATGTTAAATAAATTTCCTGACTAGAACTACGCGCATTACCAGTTATGATCATACCAAATCAAACGTTACAAATTTCAAAGACTTTACCCACTGTAAACAATGCTGACATTTAATTGGTTTGTACTTACTTTGAAAACTTTATTGGTTTTTATGCCCATGCTTCCATGAAACCAAATGTATGTATTTATTGCTTCAATTTATCTGCAATCAATTATCCGTCTGGGACTGTTACGTAAAATAATATTTACAGGCCAGCAGCGCGCAATTTCAAAAGGGGGGCTCTTTTTCTTAAATGAAATGAATTTTTATCATGAAACCTTGAGGATACAGGGGTTCGTCCGAAACCTCCGACCACCCCTGGCTACGGGACTGATTTATATAATTATAATAATATTTACCTTAATTTATCTAAAACAATGTTTTGAATAGATAATCCGTTTACTCACAATATATTAGTTCTTGAAAATTATATACTTTTTACAAGCAAACGGAATAAAACAAAAAGGCTATCTTCCTTCCATTATTCTGTTATTATCTGTTTTCATTTGTGTCATATTATTGACTGTCATGACTATTATTAACTATATTATGCCTAAAATCAAACTGCAAGAAGATAGAGCCGCAGTTTATGCATAATGCAAAAAAAAATCCTGAAAATGTTAACACTTATCCCTAAACCACCAAAGGCGATAGGCCTAAATGTTGAGAAAATTAAACAATTTCTAAAAAAATCAACACTTATCACTTAATCTCCAAGGTCAATAGGCCTCTATATTGCAAAAATTAAAAAAATTCATGAAAATGACAACACTTATCCCGTAAGTTTGGAGCTCGAAACCAGTTTTAAACATTTCAATTGTCTCAATACATGACCAGTATACATTGGTCATGACGGGGGGATTTTCTGAAAATTCCGGAATTGTTTTTGCTTTATATATATAAAGGACATATAAATGACATCTCCTGCACATGCCAAACAAACAAACTGGCAGCTTGGCCAATTAATTTGGTCATTTAACTTACCCATTATGCTGTTAACAATGAAAAGACAACATAAAGAATGGGCCCAGCCAGGGTGTAATAAACATGAGGTCTGGGCTTTTCATGCATGGGACTAGATTTGGTCCGGGCCTTTGACATATATATATATATATATATATATATATATATATATATATATATATATATATATATATATTAAAAGTAAAAGTGTTTTTCCTGTACGATATTAAATTGATATTGTACGCGTATCACAGCTTGATTCACTTTGAGCACTCAGCAATAGCCCGAGTTAAACCAGTCCCGAAACATACAGATAAGGTCATTAAAACTATCGGTGAGTTAAAAGCCCAGCAGCAGGCTTCTCTTTACAGAATGTTCCCCTTTTATCTAATTCATTCCTTGCATTTGACAGCTTTTTACGCATTCGACATGTCTATTAACACGTTGAAGCTACAAACAGTTCCTTAAAAGAACATAGCAGCTGGCTACCCGTTGGTATCACTGGTAGCAATAATAATATTAAGTCTCCTAAAATATATGCAAAGTGTATACGTATGGCGACTGATATATAGTATTACATCTCTGAAAATCTTTCCCCGATACTTTTCTGTCAATTGGTCGTGTGACTTTTCCTCATTTGTTTAGATATCCAGTTGTTACAGTTCTTTGATTTCGTTAACGACAAGAACAGCTATTTATCTAAAAAAAGTAAGGACACGCCACACGATATTCAGTTGCCATTGGCACGTGATGTGCATGCATGTGGTCTTGATTTTTTTCCCAGAGACAATGTAAGAACACATCAATTTATCGAGCCCAATCGAACATGCACATTAATTATTAACACTGAACATACAAAGTCGGTCAAATCCATGACTTTTCAAAAAATTCGTCCAATTATCCTTGACCCATCCGGAAAACCAACAGCCATATTTTTCAAATTTCTCAAATTTACCAAACTACGTATCACCAGAAATGATATCCGTCTCTGCCTTAAATAAACATCCCACTTATTGGATCGTTTTATACATTTTCGAAACTTCACTTCGAGGACACAGACAGCTAGTTTGACGGATCTAGTCTCGATCTTTGATAGGTTATGGGTGCAACAACTCTCTGCCTCTTCATAGGAGACGTCTTTGTTCAAGATGGTATCATAATGCTAATATAAAATGATTTCTTAATAATAAATTAAGATTAGATATGCTGCCGGTATCGAGATGTTAAGCTTCCGGGTTTGGATGTATACAGTATTGCAAGCTATGATTTTGAACAATTTTTTAAAACCGATCTTTGTCACATTTATGGGGATCTATTAGGGGTTATTGTCAACATACTCAGTGTGGTGCATGATTTTATAATGTGATAATGAACAGCTGCGCATGCTGACGACATCTACAATGTATATGCAGACGAATTTTCTTAGCGTGAACTGCAAAATTGTATGGAGAGAGAGAGAGAGAGAGAGAGAGAGAGAGAAGAGTGAATTTAGACTATGAATGAACAAACGGCACGATTACACATGTAAGTCCTATCCTTGCCAAAGAGTCCATTGTGCACGATCTGCTACCAGTATCGTATCAATTTGTATTTTCAGCTTCTTGGCGTTCGGCTCCTCCAAGTTTTCGGCTTCGTAGGTAAGTAGGACACTTGGTATTTGAAACATACACACAATGGACAATAGAAGTGTCACCCCCTGAATCAGAGTAATCAAAGTAAGTATATCTTGAGTAGTTATAATGCCTGGTCCACTTAAAATGTGTCTAATGAGTATAAAACCGCTGTACCATGGAATTGTATTGTTGGTCTTTTTGTGAAATTTGATGTTAATAAAATGATACCAGGAGCATATTATTCCACTGTCATTTATCTCCCCCAAAGTATTGGTTCAGTAGGGGTGACACTTCTATTGTCCAGTGTGTGTTCAGTTTTAATCTTCCATGGAAATCATTGCGTCCAAACTCATTTCTCAAAGCGTTTCTGGTATTTCGATAGTCCTCAAGGCAAAACTTAAGCTATCATTGCTATTTGCTCAGAGCTACCTAAGCTTCAATGGTTTAAAGGTGGCATACATAAATAATGAACCAGTTTTATCAGACATAAAACTCCTTTTGTTTTTCAACAGATGATCCGGTCACCATTACTTATACTAGTTATAATTGATACGCATAGAAGTATTTGGTTCCACTTTCCTATTGGTCAGTCGTTAAAATGTAAAGGTCAAGTGATGACCCAGCTGTCCAGTCTCACACGAGATAGTACCCTGTATCCATGTAGACCTATTAGGTTGCACTTATCTAGGCTTATTTTGATTATTGAGCGGTGAAATATTTATTGAATGAAATTTGGTATTTAGTTTGCGTGTACTTTTTTGTACACAGTGAAATATGCACCGTTCCCCTTTAGGGTTGTTTTGATTAAGTGATATTTCACGTTAGTTGTAACGAAATGTAATGCACTGACACCCCTAAATTGTAATTTTGATCTCAGAAGAACTTCGACGTCATTTGTATCACTATTTCCTTTTTTAAACTTTTCAGCATTCATTTCCACGGTCGCTGCTGGTAAGTAATAAACTTATAAGATAAATGGTGATAATATCAGTTTTCGTAGCAAAAAAAAAAATATAATAATAAAATAAAAATGATAATATTTTTATAATGTGACCATAGCAGCGCTTTGTTTATTGGTGAATTGTAAGAATAATAGAAATTAATAAATTAATATAAAATAGTGATGGCGAAACTATGTTTCAGATCAGACGCAGCAGACTGTGCGGTCATGAGATTTATTGCAACAATCCCAAAAGAACAGAAGTGGCAGTATTTACAAAGTGTATATTATTGTACTATACAAGGATAACGAGAATCGTTATGGTCAGATTATGGAGAATAGACCACTCTAAATTTGAACACTTCAATTTAGCGTTTAGTTCTCAAATATAACATACGTAACTTGAGTCGTTAAAGTAGATACTGCCATCTCTGTTTGAAATCTAATCTGAAAGGTGTCCAAAGCAAACACCGTCTTTTGTTCTGCAGAGTCAATAAATCAATAGGGGTCGTCTACATTATTTAAATAAGACAACGATCTGCGCGCCTACTGACCGACTTATTGAATGAAACATTGATAACTGACTTCTTACTTTAAACAGGATATCAAACTGGGGCACTTGCGATACCTCTCCGTCCAAGATTTATAAAATGCACTACCCCTTTATTGAGAAACGCATAAAATCCCTTTGTGGGCCTTCTCAATGCAGACCTCGGCCTTTTTAGAAATAACCAAGGGTACATTGTACAAGTATTTAAACTTTAGTTACATGAATGTGGCGTCATATATTTAAATTCCCAAATCCTTATTACCCAGTGATATACGCCACTGATTAATACACTGGAAAGCGAAAACAAGGGAATGTAAGCGCACATATCGTGAACGCCTTAATACTTTTCATGTAAGATATGTTGTTTCAATTCAATGCTGTGTCCCGTGCCTTCCCATACAAAAACGTTGGCTTAAGAAAATTTTCTTTTAACACCACAATGCATTTTGGAATTTGATACGTTATAAACGTCTATATTTGGCAATATAGCTTTTTCGTGTTTCTATTTTTGTGCAATTCTTGTCTTATTATTTGCACATATTGTAGGGTGGCCTAGCGTCAATATTCAATTACGCTTTTTGAAAACCGATGTGAAGCTGAAAAATTACAAAAAAAATTAAATGTAAAACTGATGCATCTTTACACAGACAGGACATTTGTGGAAAATATCATATTTCAGACACTATCCATTCTTGTAACTTCGACACTGATGATTGTGGGTACCTAAGTCCAGTTAGTAATGATTTTGACTGGACAAGACACACGGGTGGCACCACATCCGTTGACACTGGGCCTTCCTCTGACCATACGACAGGCAGCAGTGGCCACTACATGTACATAGAGACTTCTGGTGAAACCGTAAGTTATATGAACAGATTCTCATTATTATTATTATTTTACTTTTTTGTTTAATTACATCCGTTTGCAGATAAAATACGTAACTTGTAAAGTGAGCTACTGTCAATGTATATTGTGCATGTGATAAAAAGCAGTATATGCCACCTAACAAATGCAGTTTTTTTTATCTTCCTGATAATTTGTGACAATGCACGTATAATATTCATGGATAACATACTCCATAAAATTATTAACGATACATTTATTTACAGCCCAAAATGAAAACAAAACAAAACAAAAAATAAAACACCCAAAAGACTTAACACCATAGAAATATCTTAGGACAATGGCAGACCATTATTAGTGCCAAGATTCTACAACCGCGTGTACATCTTTACTAACATTTAAAACTTACACTGGATCGATTTACAGCATAAGAAATAATTGAAAATGCAAAGGTAAATTGTTCAGAAGGATAAAGATATTTTTTATTAAAGTTGGAGTTTTGAACATATAGAAAGGTAATTAGTTACACTAGGTAAGGGCTGCCCGTTCGAAGGATCAACCACATACATAATATTCACCTCTGCACGATTGTGCTTTCCCATTTATTTATTTATTTATTTATTTATTTATTTATTTATTTATTTATTGTCACATGTGCAGTCCTTCCTATCTGACCGTTCCCAGAGAGTAAAATATAAAAGCTCACTCTCTGAATGGCTACACCCACATGGTGGAGTACCCCAGGGTACCCTTCTTGGGCCACTGCTTTTTGCCATCATGATTGATGACTTAAAATCCAGATGCCCAGACTATAAATATGTTGACGATACTACAGTGTATGACATTTGTAATATTAATGGTCCGTGCCACTTACAAAGTGCAAGTAACGAAATAGTGCCGTGGACACAAAAATAACAATATGAAACTGAATGCCAAAAAAACCAAGACCATGACCCTAAATTTTACACGTTCTACACCAGACTTCCCACCAATAGTTATAAATGACACGCCGATCTGTGAGGTTACACAGTTCAAACTTCCGGGCATCCATATTAGCAATGACCTAAAATGAGGTACTCATGTGGATCATATATATAAGAAGACGTGCAAGACTCTATTTCCTCCGTCAACTGAGGCGAGCTAAGCTCAGCCCTGCTGACTTAATTCAAGTTTACCAAAGCATTGTGCGTTCAATTCTAGAATATGCCTGCCCTGTGTGGCATCCAGGACTAACTATAGAGCAATGTAAACTTTTAGAGACTGTCCAAAGTCGTGCTTTGAAGATTATTTTCCCTGACCTACACTATGATGAAGCCCTGAACCTGGCAAATATGTGTACTTTAGATAAACGAAGGGAAGATCTGTGCAAAACTTTCTTTTACAAAATAACTGAATCCTCTGACAAACTGAATCACATCTTACTTGAGCAATCCAAGAACAAACAATAGATACAAAGTGCCAAAATGTAAGACCGACAGATTCCGATGCTCTTTTATTCCACATGCACTTTTAAATTTCCAATAGTATTATGTTGCCTTTTATCCTAAGTACAATAATTTTAAAGTTCAGTTAGCAGTCTTTTAACTCAGTTTTATTCAAGCAAATATTCATTTTATTATCATTATAATTTTCTTAACATTCTATGTACAACTTCAACCCACTGGGTTGCAATCTTACTAAATTATTATTATTTTGCGAGTGTACTAGTTTGGTATCGACTCCAAGGATATTAGTAAATTAACCACATGTTCATTTAACTTCAGCCGGGCTACATAGCAGCTCTGCTGACCCCAAGCATGAATTCGACAAGTGGTCAGGTGTGCGTCTCATTTTGGTACCATGCGTATGGATCATCGCTTGGTGAATTACACATGAGCCTTGTGACGTCATCGGTATACGTGACGAGGGACTTTTCGTTTGATGGTGGTACATCAGAAGATAGGTGGAAATATGTAGAAACATCTGCAATGCTGACCGAGACTTCTTTTCAGGTAATAAATATAAGACGAATAATTTATAATTACGCACATCTGGTAATTAAGCGCTACCACATATTTCGCAACAAATGGGCATCATGTTTTCTCTTGACTTAAACGTGCGTTGTATCCCTTACCTTGCAGACTGCAATATTTCCAGTTCTTTTTGAACGTGGAGTACCAGTTGCATTTTATCTTTCCTGGATGTCCCTCTGCTTGTCGGTACAAACATGAATATATAACTCTAATACTGGAACTTACGTTAAGCAAATAACCTGAGACCTTTCACTAGGTAAATGACCAGTATTAGAGCTGTTCATATTAATCATTCTTATTCTACTGGATGACCAACAACATTCACTTATCTCTGCAAGTCATGTATGACAATATGATACGTATGTCATTAGTTCATGATACGAAACAACGAAAACGAAAAAGGCAATACTGTCAGTGTTAATTTATATAGATGTATATAGCGGTATACGGTAAAGTAATTTCTAAAAGACACAGCAGGATGCAAGGCAATGCTGGTTCTTTCTGAGTGCAAGTTCTTGGTGCGGAAATATATTTTTATGCCATGGGGAAACGTTTTGTGTTTTAATGCTTAGGTGTTGATTTTTATCCACAGCGTCATACACATGCAAGCTAATCATGAACCGGCGACCAAAATAAAACGGCACTGATCATTTCAAGTATGTCCCTCTTCGAGGCAGCTTGTGTTCCTCTTCCTTTCATTTTATGTCAGTGACATTGTTTCTTGTACGCAGGTCAAATTCGACGGCATACGGGGCAGCGGCAACTTTGGCGACATAGCTATTGATGACGTCACCGTTAACGATACGCTTTGTGCAGGTAATGTATCTTTTTAGCGATTGTGCTTCCATAAGATTTTATTTTACATATTTTGCCTTTTACTTTATTTTTTCTATGGGACCACTAGGATTTTGGCTGTATCAGGAATCCGCCTCCGGACATTTTCACCCGGACAATCCCCCGGGCTCCCACCCCCACCCTGGACAACCTCCTGCTGCCATGAATATCATACTGAGAATGAACTATGTGATATTGAGAAAACGTGCCCGTCTTTAAGCAAAATGTACCTCACTCATCCAGGTATCGCTTTGATGAACTAACTGACACCTTTAATTGTACCCTCTTAATTACGTTACATGCCTTTAATTAAGATACATGCATTTAATTCAAGTAGAGATGTGCTAAACAAATAATCTTACTCATCTAGGTATGAGATATCCCTTTGATGAAATATCTGTCAGTTTTAATTGTTTCACCACTACCCCCTGACATAAAAACAAAGACTCTTATTTCTCTTATTCTTATTTTATCGTTATTATTTACTTAATCAGGTATTCAGGAAACTCACTAGCGTCAAATAAATTGCAAATAAAGTAATATTTGTTTGCTTTAAAATACTGATAAAATGGTAGTATTTTTTTAATAAAATTCAGGTAAAATGGCAAATGTGCAAAATTTGCATCATTAGCGTCAAATAATTTCAGATTAACTCTCAGGTCTGTTTAAGCGCGTAAGTTAGCTTCCTGAATCTTACAACTTATACATGTACGTATATGTAGCCAAACCTTTTGTTTTTACTTCATTTTCTGTCTTCTTTCTTATATTCGGTAAAATATTCAAAAATGTATAAATACGTCAAATGAATAATTCAAAAGCAGTATATTTTCTTGTCTTGGGGCAATTATCCTAGGATGATTGTCCTAAAACCAATTTTGGCGAACATGGAACTTACATCATTCTATTTGATCAAGAAGGAAAACGATGTTTATCAAACAAGACCGCTTTTCACGAAATGTTCGCAATTGGGCAAAGTCTTTGTTTACAAATATACCCTTTCTAGAACGTTTTGCTATGCAATTTTGCTATTTGCGCACGATATGTGGAACAGATTCGCTCATGCTTATTCAGCAGATTGAACAAACTGAGTCAGTTTTTTTCTAAAATATAGGACTGTGCGTGTGTGTGTGTGTGTGTGTGTGTGTGTGTGTACAGAACTGCAGTGATGGCATTACTGTTTACAACCATTTGTTTTCCAGTATGCACATACAAACTTATCAGGAATTACAGAAATTGATGATTTTCCCTTGTGTTTGCATTTAATTATATCGTATAATTAAAACAAGTAACCGTTGTCTTTCTTTCAGGCCATGTAGGTTCTGCAAGCAACCCAGTCGTAACTGCGCTCACCAACACGTCAGCAATGATCTCGTGGGGCCTGCCGTCCATTGGCACTGAGACTCTTCAGTATTTCATCGTAGAGGTGTACGACTGTATGTATGCAGTGACGCCCCAATTGACTGTTTCTGAGATTTCCGAGACATACTTGACAGTGAATGGCCTTACCCCGGGGAACGTTTACGTGTTTGCCGTTTACGCCAATGGTACAAACAATCTGGCCAGACCTTCGAATGTTTCACAGTGGATTGATAACAATCAGAGTGAGTGATGCTCTTACTTTATCGATGGCGATAAGAAAAATAAAACATAGTCTATAAGCCAAAATGACCTTATTTAAGGTTATAAGATTGATTGTTGTAGTTTAGAACCTGAATTTTTTCATTTCTGCTTGTTCCCGTCTTGAAAAAGTGTCCATCTGTACCGGAAACAAGCAAAATACAAGCAAAATACAAGATGGCCGCCAATATATTCATTTGTTATATGTAAATACAAAAACTTATTGTAATAGTGAAATATTTCATTTTCTGCTGAAAATGTCTTCAAATCTAATGATGTTTGCCTGACAACGAAAAAATGGACAATTTATACTGTATTGACCCCTTTCAAAAGAATGAGTGACGCCACAAACAGACAGTCCGTAGCAGATATATGCCTCTGAAAGAAATGACTAAATAATAGGCCCGTTATTTTTGTCATATTTTTCGATGTTTCCATTTACATAAATTTTACAGGCGTTTCTAACTATAAAGAAAAGATTTTAATGCTTTTTTTTTGGGGGGGGGGATGAAAACGCACGCTTAAACCAATAGACGCAATATTTTAAAGGTGCTCTCCACGCGTTGGAAAATCCCCCACAATCATATTAATATCCTGTAAAGCTTCTTATATATCCCAACTCCGACCTTAAAGGTAAAGTTAATCCTTTTAATCCCCCCTCGAATGTGATCAGAATGTTTCGAATGTTCCCAGAATGCCATGAGAATATTTAAAATGCAGCCATAGTGTAGTTAGAATACTATTCAAATGCCATTCAATAGTTTTCCACTTGGAATGCACTCCGAAAGTTTTTAAAATTCAGACCGACCACGAGAATGGGTAAAACTATTTGAAATGCATTCGGAATTTTTAGAATGCTCTTGAATATCCAGGAATGCACAAAGAATTGTCTTTCGGACGGCATTCTTGTTCATTCTGCCTCTAGTGTGACGGGGGTATAACGTAGCGTTTTCAAACCCCCACGTTGTTTCAACAACGTTATTACGTGCATCACATGCCTCTGGCAGTTTCTGCAAAAGCCGATATGAATTTAAATTTCAGCTGTGCTTTTTAACTGTGACTTTGACACTTGCGGCATATGCGGCATGCAGCAGGACAACACTGACGACACTGACTGGGACAGAAATAAAGGTTCAACGTTGACTGCAAGCACCGGCCCCAGTTCGGATCACACGACCGGGGTAGCGAGCGGAAACGGAGCGGGTTACTATTTGTATTTTGAGAGCAGTAGCCCCGTATCGGTAAGTAATTTGGTTCCATCTTTGGTAGTGAAAATTTTGACTATTATTCATTGTAAATAAATGTCGAAAAAAAACCAAAATCCTAGTAAGTAAATTATTATTATGTTTTTAGTAATATTTATTATTATTATAGCTAGTTAAAGGTACATACGAACCGAGCATCGGTGGAGCGTGGATTCCCAGTGACACATGTAAACCACTTCTTCTAGTTTCTTATACAACTCTAATAAATTCGCCATGCCATGGGATAAACTGAATACATCACTCGATCAGCCATAAAAGAGATTTAGACTGCTCCTTTCTTTAAATTTTTGGTCGGAAATTTAACCTACTTTTGTGACCTACTTTTCTGCCATATTGACAAACAGCATAGAATGCTAGCAGCAAAATCCATTCAAACATCATTTTTGGGTAAAATTAGACAATGCCTTTTGGTAATTCTCTTAGATATACTACTTGAAACTACATGCTGGCATTTGGTTGGTTTTTGTGACAAAAATTGACTTTGTATGCATCTTTAAATGTCAAGAAACGCAAGTTAAAATTACGGGTTTACAATCCTTGATATATTGATAATTTATTTTTCGATTTGTAATTGTAGGGAAAAATTCACGAATATTATTTCCAAACAAGCTCCACTTAAAAGTTGTCTTCCTAGCCTCTACATACATATATTAATAATAGTAAATGTATTTACAGTACTTGTAGAAATGGTGGGTCCTAAACGATTACCCTCCCCCCTCCCCTCCCCCCAAGCGTTCTTAACGCGTACATTGTCGCCCTTCGTTAAGTGTACACTTCTATCAATATCTTTGACCAATGCACCGAGGCACTGGATAACCAGTTAACAAAATGGCGACCGCCCCCCCCCACCCCCCACCCCGCCCCTCCCCCACTTCGCCCGGGTCATATTCGTGCACTCAATCACTTTCAAAGAACTAATTTCATTTCAGGTAAACGATCGGGCTCGAGTGACAACCCCAACTGTCAACACCACCAACACCCAAGCGTGTCTTACATTTTGGTTTCACGCGTATGGCAGTAATTTGGGCGTTTTTAATGTAAGGATTGTGACGTCATCGGGGATTGAAGTAAGGACCATAGCGCAGTACCCCTCGTCGGTGAACAGCTGGGTGCAAATTACGGTTCCTATAGAAGAAGACAGTTTTCAGGTAACGGCCCAAATCTCATAATTCATTAACGTGAAGTAATGGTTGAGCTGCTAAGGTGATTCGAAATGTATATACCGGTATATATGTCGCAGGTCAGATCTTAATCTAGTCCAGTTACATGTACTACGTGCATTCAGTAAACAGGCACCTTAGAGGGGAAGTTCTATAGATCAGCTAAAAATAACACACTAAACCTAGTAATAACTACTGTGAAATGACCAACATCAACGGTGTTGATTTGAACTCTTGTTTTTGGTATTTTACGAAGCAAAAATTATAATTCCAATATAATATTAAATTAGCACGACACTAACAGAAATGTATAAGGTCCTAACAAAAGCCATTTTATCAATGTTCCACACTGCTGTGGGGTAAGATTATATGCACTAATTGCAATAAATTACTGAGTTGTATATTTTTTCACTTGAATATAAATTTATTTTCTGTATTAAATGACCAGTTTAATCTTTGGTAAAATGGACATGTTTTCCTCAAATTCATATAAATGAAACATTGATTACTTCCATGCCACACATTTAATGATAGGGGGGTCCTTAGATAACCTTTTCCCCCAAAACCATGTCAAAACCACCTAAAAAGATGCTTATACATCTTAAAAACAAACTACAAAAACCAAATTAGTCTATCTCTATTATCAGAGCTGCTACTTGGGTTTTAGTATTTGAGAGAAAAATCGCTAAAAATAATTAAACTCTGTATTTTGTAAGATGTGATGGTTTTCCATATCAATGTTGCTTACATTTTAACACAAATTTCTTTGTGACTTACAATTCTGACATAAAGACGGACTAAATGCATATGAAAACTAAACTGAATGTTCTTACACCTAGATGATGATTCAGAATAGGTTAAAAAAAGACAGGAATTGAATAAGAATTCAATTCACTAAAAATTCAGTGCTTTTTGGAAGCTTAAGTCAGTTAGCGTTATGGTGGATCTTTAGTTCTTTTTTCCCAGCAACTTTTTTCAAGTTCATTCCAAACTGTTCTGGAGTTAACATCCTTCTCCTCCCCCCATCAGTATCGAATATCCTGAAGACAGGACTACATTTTGGCAGTGATAAGGATGTGTCTCTAGCGTATGTGACCCCCCCCATGAAATTTTGACTCATCCTACAGAACTTTATAAATCTTATTTTCTTTGAGTATATGACTTTATTCTTGTAGTATGCATAATAAAGGATACATTGGCACTTTTTGCTAGTTTGCAGGTGAAAGTTTTCATGAGAATAGAAGAAAATTAAAAATGTGTATTCTACCAGACAATGAATCCCCTATATGGAAAAGCTGTTTACAGGTATTTGATATTTGGTGATCATTTCAATTTTCACCAAATTTTTTACCACCAAACTTTCAAATACTAACAAAATATACGTCACAATGCAAACTATGTGGAAAATAATGGTATGGTGACTAAATATAAAATGGGACTTTTTCTTCATGGGAGTCCAAATACCATAGAAAATGGAGATTTTTCAAGATTTTTTTTCATTTTTTTCACCCAATATTTTACAATCAAACTTTCTAATATTTTCAATATATTCCTAATAAAGTATACTTAAAGGAAAGATGTTGAAATGATCATCATGGGGGAGTCAGATTTTCATGTTACATCGGTATTCAGTAGAAACAGTTTTCCTTAATTTGCTAGTTTCTTTTAGCACAGTCCCTCAAGCCACAGCCTCTAGTTTTGGTTTCTTCCTCAATCTTTGTTCGGTGTCACCACACTGCCGTGTCATTTGAAGGTTGTGGACAGGGGTCTCATCTATGTTTTCCCACTGATCAAACCCAGGATATTTAACGGGATATTCACTAAATCCATAGTATTTTCCGCGTTGCATAGCCAGAACCTTTGCCATTTCTGGTAGTATCTTCTTTGTCAAAGCTATGCACTCATTCAGATGTGCACTAGCCATAGTTTCACACTCTCAACTACATGTAGGCTATAGTTATCTTTCACTTCTTGGAATAATTCTTGGTTGAAACAGGAAAACTCAGGAGCATCTAGCTGAAAGAAATTCTCATTTACCTCATTTCTACTCAGCTCTAGATGTAATGATTGAAACATTTCTTTCAATTTGATGTGTGTTGCACCCCTGGATATTGTTATGGCATGAAACTAAGGGCGTATTCCCAGACATTTATATCGATCTATCCCCGTGGGGAGTCTCACTAGATCACTGTCAGATAACCCGGCTTAAATGTCTGTCCCGCCTACTACAAGCTGTAAGGTGGTAATTAACTTTTGTGCCCGCTCGGCTGACAGCTATTTAGTGTGAACCCCCAGGGTGTTAGGTCGATCTAGTTTGGATCGATCCAATCTCTGGGAATGGGGTCTAATTGAATGCTACAACAGCAGCAACTATTCTGATAAATTCCAATGCCAGAGCATCTCTTACAAGACAAGCTAGATGCCATCATTGTCTAGCTAGTTATTCAGTAATACAGTATAGATACCCTAAAAAGATAATGAAATCATGAGAAATCTAAAAGGAAAAATGTCATCAAAACTATTAATGATGAATTACCGTGTTGATGTTATTGATATAAGGTGTCACTGCCGCCATGATTTTGAATATTTAGCTATCTTTCAAATAAACTTTTTACACAAATTTCTTAAAAACCAACTACAAAACCCATCTATTTGGCTTTGGTGAGTTTGAAATAACTTGTCAGGCCTATATAACTTTCATTCATGTTGTAGGAAGACAGTCCCGAAACAGCAGAAAATCTTGAAAATCGCGCTAAAATGCTAAAAATCACGTAATCATAAAATGCAAGTAGCAGCTGAGTTATCAATGATCTTTCAAAAAGAACATTTGAAATATTGATTTTAGGTGTGTAAGGAACTTTTTAGCTAGTTTTGACATATTTTTGGAATCATGGACCCCCCCCCCCCACCCATTAATAAGATTATCATTCCTTTATTAAATGTTTTAATTGATGTAAATGCTTTTCTTTAAATGTTTAAAGGGATAATAACTCTTCGTATGAGATCTATATTTCACAATAAAAACATTGTGAATATCTCAAAGAAATATAATATATTCTGTTTTACCATAAAAACGGCAGTTATAGCTATTATTCTGATATCTGAGCTTGTCTTTAGACCACGTGATCTCCATTGATGGCTATACTCTGTTAAAATCTCTTAAGAGATTTAAAAAAAAACCAAACTTTTTAGAAAAAAACCAGGGACTAACTTTGAATGTAAAAATGGATTCATTAACCATTGGTAAGTATGGGAAAATTGTTGTTTACTCCAGGAAAATTCATTTTTTGGCCGAAACGAAGAGTTATTATCCCTTTAAGCAATAATCTTTTTAAAAAAATTCATAATCAGATGTTTTTTTTACAAACTAAATAAAATGAATACAAGTAAATTCAATTTGCCAGGCATGTATGTTCAGTATGATATACCTTGATCTATAATATCCATTTTTTTTCACGCAAACAAACTGGCATCTCACCTGTATATTATTCGGCAAATAAACATGCTCATTAAGATCCCAATTGGGTTCTGTCCTAGTCCACTCAATAACTGGACTATATTGGGATCTCGCCTGTGACATTTATCACAATTATGTTATATATTTGCATGTATATATATTTGATATTTTTATATAGATCCAGTTTGAAGCAATTGACGCCAACGGTGTCGAAAGTGATTTTGCCATCGACGACATTGTCATCATGGATGGTTGGTGCGAAGGTAAGTGATGTCTAACAAGTTTTTTTTTTCTTGGCGAACACTCAGTCGTCAAGTACATCAAACTTTTAAATACTGAGAAAAAGAGAGAGGGGGGGGATCATTCCATATATATATATTATAGATGGTAGACTCAAGCATTATTTTCTTATTTGTATCTCAGGCCATAGCAGCGGAATTCGCAGTCCGGCAGTGACATCCGCCAATGATAGCTCGGTGACCATTCAGTGGACAGCGCCATTACTGGGAAGTTCAGATGTCCAACAGTATACAATCTTAGCGTATCAGTGCATGAATAAGACGTCAGCAGATCACGTGGTGTCCTCTAACTTCACTTCCGTAACTGTAACTGGACTGGCCGCCTACTCTATGTGGACGTTCTCAATACTTCCTGTGACGGCAGTGGCAAGTTTTCCAGAGACTGTTAATATCACAGGCTGGACACGGCCGCTTGGTACGTAAAGAGTTTTATAAATTAGGGTTCGATATTTTACTTCGAGACTCACTCCAATATAGTAAGGTGAGTTATGAAAATATACAGAATGATGTTTTTTATTTGGATGAAATTTAGCATTGGCTATCTTTTTCATGTAGCAAACATATTACTTATTACGATGTAAGTGTTTGCACGAATGTGAAAAGAAACATTCTTATTATATCATGACGTCTTAATGTTTAAAAAGCACGATAACCCGCAGAGCTGCATGTAAATCAACACGTTATTATACTCTTATACCTGATTTTTAGACTCATATAAAAATAATAGCTGAGTAAGATCTAGGATCCTATAGGTTCCACTGATAACACCGCTGGTTTGTAGATCAAACCCGTAATGATAAAATTATATAGGGATAACGACTGTTTATTTTGTTGAGAAAAGTGTCATTATACGGATTTTCCTGGGTTAAACGACGATTTCCCCCATATTATCCATTGGTTATTGAATCCGTTCCGACTTTCAAAGCTAGTCCAATATTTTATGATCTCTTAAGAGATTATTATAAAAAGTAGTCTTGTATGAAGGTCCAATGGCAAGCACAGATTCCAGAATAATTGCGATTAGTGCCGTTTTGGTGGTAAAATGGAATTTATTGTATTTTTGTGAATTGTTTATAATGCATGTATTGTAAAATATGAATCTCATACGAAGAGCTGTTTCTAATTTAAACACCTAAACAGATTTATGTGAATGAACACACTATAAACACGAGATTACAACAAAAATGCTCATGGGTAAATCACCATATTATCTTCTAGACACTGCCCACTTGTGTAATTTTGACTGTGACACGTGTGGGTACGTCCAGGCCACGGACGATGAAATGGATTGGGTACTCAACTCTGGGTCCACGCCCACCTCTAGCACCGGGCCTACTGGTGATCATACCACCGGAAGCGGAAATTACTTTTATTTCGAGGTGGATGGAGGCTCTGTAAGTGGGTTCTTTAAATATGTCAGTAACAACAAATTGACGATTTACACTTGACCACCTTATGTGCAGAAGGGTGGAGAATAAAAACTGAAAATGATCTTTTTACGAAGATGTTTATTTTATTAATATTAACCCTCATCCACAAGGAAATGGAACCCTACGTAAACCCTGAAACCGGGCCTCGGAGGCCCGGTGTACCATGAAAATGTGACTCCCCTAAAATGTGACTCCCCAGTCAGATTTTCATAATGAAAATGTGACTCCCCCTATGAAATTTTGACTCCCCCCCAAAAAAAAAAAGTTTGCAGGTAAAACGTTTCAAGAACAAAAAAAAAAATATATATATATATATATACAAGATTTGTATTATACCACCCAAGGAATCCCCTATGAAAAAGCTATTTATATGATATTTGATTATTATTCTGACATCTTTTCTTTGAGGATACTTTATGAAGAATATATTGAAAGTATTTGAAAGTTTGATGGTAAAAAATTGGGTGAAAAAAAAAACACATGAAAAATAAGAAAAATTAAGGATTTGTATTTTAATACCCAATGACTTCCCTATAAAAAAGCTATTTATTTGTTATTTGATGATCATTCTGACATCTTTTCTTTTAGGATACTTTATGAAGAATATATTGAAAATAATTGAAAGTTTGAATGGTAAAATACTGGGTGAAAATAATTTACGAAATTCTTCATTTTCATATGCATGGGATTTGGACTCCTATGGACTCCCATTATATTTGCTGTTGTTTTTCTCATTTTTCCCAAAGCTGAATGAAAAATGGGGATTGATGATTTTAAATGGATAATAAATTTGCATTCTTGTACCCATAGGAGTTTGACTCCCTATAGTCTTTCAAATATTTCCAATATAATCTTCATAAAGTAAAAGTTAAAGAAA